CTTGGAACTGGGGACGACCAAGGGGAGGCAGTTTCCTTCTCTCTGGGCTACAGGTTTTTAATGTCTTCTTTGTTGGTCTGGGGCCCTGGAGACTGAACTGAGGGGAGAGACTTTAGGCTGTTCCCTCCCTCCTGGACAAAACGGTGCGTGCTTTTCCTGTTTAAACAGGGCACAGTTGTGAAGTGCCCTGACTCCGCACACACCGAGGCCCGGCAACGGCTGCAATAAATCAATAGGAAAATAGAAGCTGCCAGTTAGACTAAACAAGTGCATTTGCAAAGACGGCTAGCCCTCATTAATCACTCTGACAGTCCTAAAAACACATTTCCCCTTTAATGACTGTATTTGGATAATCAGTGCTTTTTCCTCCTCAGAGTTTGAGTAACAGACAGCTGGTGTTATTACAGCCATCGGGGAGGGAGTGCTGGGATTAGGGTCGAGGGGGACCCATCCACTGGAGGTCTCCGCAAAGGGGCAGGGTTGCCATGCAGTAATGAGGGGGAGCTTTGTGCTGCCATTGATGGCTCCCGGGCAGCCATGGGCACGTTCCCCCCAAACCTTGACACCCACCTGCATTATGTGAACACAAAAGCCTCATGGGGAGTTTTAGGGGGGCTTGCAGGTTTCACCTGGGCTGGGGAGGAGGCAAGAGTTTCCTGGGCAGCTAGGGAAGGAGATGGGGTCGATGTGATTTGGCTTTGTTTCCGTGAGGTGACTTTGGCTTTCAGGAGAAAGTTTGAAACCCAGCACATTCCTCTTTATAAATGATGTAACACATTAATGCACAGCACATTATGAAAATGGTAATTCAAACCCATAGTGCTCCAAATTAAACCATACATTATCGGATGCAGTCAACCATCTATTTTGCAAAAAGACAGGATGAATGAAATCAAGTCAAACAGAAAACTGGAGTGCAGCTTCCCCTACAGAATGATTAATAAAGTACAGAGCCACAGTATTATTGGAAGACGGAGTCCACGGAAATCCAGACATACATCAGGAGGGGGTTAGTTCGTGTATTGAAAGACACATCCCAGGATGCTGCGTAGACCAAGGCAATTATGGCTGCAGAAAAATGCTGGAGGGCCCCACCCCTCCCACTTGGGCTGCGGATTCTCAGGGGACGGGTTTGGGGGGATGACTGGGAAGTTCAAAACTTAACACCCTGCAATTCTGTTTGTGTCAAACCTGTATCTGAGGGTGAGGCCTTTTCCTCTCTCTCCTCCCTTCCTCCCACTGCTGCCCATGAGGCCACAAAAATAACCAGGCAGGAGGTGTGAAAATATGACCCAGAGCCAGGAACATCCAGTGTTTCAAGGTCCAGCTCTGTGGCTGCCACCTTTCCTGGTGCCTGGGGAACGCAGGCCCCCATTGCTGGTGCCTGGAAGAGATTAGGAGGAAGAGGGGGAGGAGGAAGAGAAGGTGGAGAGATGGAAGGTAGAGGTGATTCTCAAAGAAGACTTGCTGGGTGAATTAATTATGCAAATGAGCAGCTGGTGGGGAGCATTATCTCTATTAAAACAGCAACTTTGTTTCCTGAGAATGTAGCTCCTGAAAGTAACAAACTCCCCCCACAGTTAGTGAAAACAGCCCCATGTCTTAGGACTGTCACCCATTTATGGTGAGGAGAGCTGACATCCGAGGGTGAAAACTGGGCCCCTCCAGGCTACAATGCCTGCCCTTTGTGTCACAGTGGTAGTTGGTGACAGCCTTTTCCAATCAGGCCAACGGCATCCTTCGTGGTCTGCAAAGGCCGATAATACATTTTCTGGGGGAAACTCAATCCTCTGAGGAGTTTGTAACCTGCATTCTCACACCTCCCATGTAAGCCAAGCACCTAGCGAGAAGTTTCTTTTGCTATATGGAGAGTTTGCTCTTGGAGTTATGGAGTCTCCCCCTTTCTGCTGTCCCAACAAGGGGAGCCCTGTGGTCCCTAGGTAGGGATGTCTGAAGACCCAGTTTAAGAAAGAGAAAAGCTTAAGTCCCCCTGTAGAGGGAGCAATTTCCAGCAATTTTAGCAGGCATTAAAAAACCCCCACACAAACCAACCAAAAAAGGTATCTGAAGGAAAGGGGGATTTGAGAGGAAGGGAAGATGGGAAGTAAAATAACCAAGAGCAAACAAAACAACAGAGAAAAAGAAAAAGTAAAGCAAGTTGCTATATTTCAGGTCTTTTAAAGCTTCCTTTGGGCCAGTTTGAACTCTGAGAAGTTGCATAAGGATGATTCCCCAGGAAGACCCTGAGCTGCTCTCAGGGCGACTTCTCCAGCCCGTCCAGCCTCTCCCCGACTCCGCCCCGCCCTGTGCACAAGGATGCCAGCAGCCCAGGTCCCTTCCCCTGCGACACACAGGGTCTTACTCCAGCACTGCCATTTGCTGCAGAAGAAGACTGAGGTTCCCTTGACTAGAGAAGGAATTTTCCCCAGAAACAAAGATATAGGGGCGACCGCCGCAAACCCCAAACCAACCCCCCCCCC